TCCGTTGAGGTTTGAACTCACGACTTCTACTTCCTGTGATTCAAGAAAACAAAAACATAATATCCTATGAGGGTCTTGAATTTGCGCCTCTTTAGCTCAGAGGTAGAGCACTGGTCTTGTAAACCAGGGGTCGTGAGTTCAAACCTCACAGGAGGCAAACTGAATTTCTCATTCGATGCTGCGCTTATTCTTAAATTTATTAATGCTGTAATTTTTCCTTAATTTTATAAAAGTAAAAAAGCAGCAACGTTTGGTATACTATACATAAATACTATATATAAATCGAATACACTTCTACTTCCTGTGATTCAAAAAAACAAAAACATAATATCCTATGAGGGTTTTGAACTCGTACCTCTTTAGCTCAGTAGTAGAGCACTGGTTTCGTAAATCAGGGGTCGTTAGTTCAAACCTCACAGGAGGCTAATTGCTTTTCGAGTTATCGATCCAATAAATCAGTCAAAATATTCGTGACAGATTATCACTATTATAATATTAGTATTTAATAAAAACATTTATAAGGTTGCTGTCTCTCATGTATAGGGTCTTTCAAACTTTATAGTTTAAAACTTAAGTGTTTAAAACCCTCATAGGATATTATGTTTTTGTTTTTTTGAATCACAGGAAGTAGAAGGATATTCGATTTATACCAAACGTTGCTGCTTCTTTTTCTTTTATACAGTTAAGGAAAAATTGCAGCATTAATAAATTGCTTTTCGAGTTATCGATCCAATAAATCAGACAAAAATATTCGTGACAGATTATTACTATTATAATATTAGTATTTAATAAAAACATTTATAAGGTTGCTGTCTCTCATGTATAGGGTCTTTCAAACTTCATACGAAATATGCTGTGATTTTCACTAAATTTTCGTGTGCCTTCTTAACTTTGTAAAAAAAAACTACTCCAACGCCAACGTTTGGAATAAATCGAATAGACTTATGCCGCATGTGATTAAATTTATAAAAAGAAATATTTAAAAAAAATTATAATAGTTCAACAATTAATTTGGCGTGCTGTGATTTATTTTTTATAAAAGATATTTAGACTTTAATGAAGAAAAAAAAGCACCAACGTTTGCCATAAAACGAACAAATTTCTGCCTCCTGTGAGGTTTGAACTCACGACCCCTGGTTTACAAGACCAGTGCTCTACCACTGAGCTAAAAAGCCACACGTTAAAAGTAGTAACATAAAATTGTGCAGTTACTACTGAGAATTTTGTGTTTCCATTGATTCATGCTCTTAAATATCCAAGTTTGAAATGTTTGTTTTTTGATTAAATGTTCTTATAAATACTAATATTGAAATAGTAACAATCTGTGATTAATATTTTTGTCTGATTTATTGGATCGATAACTAGAAAAGCAATTTGCCTCCGGTGAGGTTTGAACTCACGACTTCTACTTCCTGTGATTCAAGAAAACAAAAACATAATATCCTATGAGGGTCTTGAAATTGTGCCTCTTTAGCTCAGTGGTAGAGCACTGGTGAGTTCGTGAGTTCAAACCTCACAGGAGGCAAACTGACTTTCTCATTCGATGCTGCGCTTTTTCTTAAATTTATTAATGCTGTAATTTTTCCTTAACTTTATAAAAGTAAAAAAGCAGCAACGTTTGGTATAAATCGAATACACTTCTACTTCCTGTGATTCAAAAAAACAAAAACATAATATCCTATGAGGGTTTTGAACTCGTACCTCTTTAGCTCAGTAGTAGAGCACTGGTTTCGTAAACCAGGGGTCGTTAGTTCAAACCTCACAGGAGGCCAATTGCTTTTCGAGTTATCGATCCAATAAATCAGACAAAAATATTCGTGACAGATTATTACTATTATAATATTAGTATTTAATAAAAACATTTATAAGGTTGCTGTCTCTCATGTATAGGGTCTTTCAAACTTTATAGTTTAAAACTTGAGTGTTTAAAACCCTCATAGGATATTATGTTTTGGTTTTTTTGAATCACAGGAAGTAGAAGTATATTCGATTTATACCAAACGTTGCTGCTTCTTTTTCTTTTATACAGTTAAGGAAAAATTGCAGCAATAGTAAATTGCTTTTCGAGTTATCGATCCAATAAATCAGACAAAAATATTCGTGACAGTTTATTACTATTATAATATTAGTATTTATGAAAACATTTATAAGGTTGCTGTCTCTTACGTATAGGCTCTTTCAAACTTTATAAGAGATATGCTGTAACAGCACAATATTATATTACTACCTCTAAAAATGTGGCATCTTTAGCTCAGTGGTAGAGCACTGGTCTTGTAAACCATGGGTCGTGAGTTCAAACCTCACAGGAGGCAGATTGCTTTTCGAGTTATCGGTCCAATAACTCAGACAAAAATATTCGTGACAAATTATTACTATTATAATTTTAGTATTTAATAAAAACGTTTATAAGGTTGCTGTCTCTCATGCATGGGGTCTTTCAAACTTCATAAGAAATGTGCTGTGATTTTCACTAAATTCGTGTGCACAATATTATATTACTACCTACCAACATGTGGCCTCTTTAGCTCAGTGGTAGAGCACTGGTCTCGTAAACCAGGGGTCGTAAGTCCAAACCTCACAGGAGGCAAATTGCTTTTCGAGTTATCGATCCAATAAATCAGACAAAAATATTCGTGACAGAGTATTACTATTATAATATTAGTATTTAA